TGCTTATGTTTCAATATAAAAATGTTGTGAACAAGCGTAGCCATGTAAAGGTTGGATTAGTTGTATGTTATATTTCAGTGAAAAACGTTCAAATCCACTAAAGTTAATTAGAACTTTTGATTTAAAGGCATAAATATTGTTGCTCTACACCTAAATAAAAAAGTACGATTGTTTCTCCTTGCATTTCTTCCACGGATTTTAAAATTAGTTGAAAGGTTAAAAAATTCTTCAATAGATTTCAAAATTTATTGAAATTTTTTTTCTTTAACAAATTTTAAAATTAATTGAAAAGAAAAGGATATAGGATTTTTAAAATACGGTTTTAAAATTAAAAAAAAATGTAAAGATGCAATAAGACATGTGGGATGATATATTAACCGTTAATCTTTCTATCAAATGGGTTCCTAACTTTTTTTCATTTTTGTTCCTACCAATGATTTTTAATTAAAGAATTTACCATTGTAAAAAATTGAATACATCAAATATAATTGAAGTTAAGAATATTTTTTTTTTCATAATATTAGTATAAAATATTTATCAAATAATTTTCCTAACTTTCTTAAATTTCTTATCCAATCTTATGTTTTATTCACGTTGAATACAAAACTTAAAAAAAAAAGAATTTAATTTAATTAGAACCAACAGTATATTAACATATTTTGTGGAGTTTTGTTGAGATGTCCATGTACAAATACAAAACTATATTTATCTTATAATGTAAGAACTATACTTTTGTTTTATACGTCTATATAAATATTTATCTTACAGTATAATACCATCTTAATTGTTAAAACTTATCATGTGATAAACGTATTACATCTATTCTAATATTACAAGCATTAATTAAACATTTTGTGGACCCAACCCAACCTAAAAACCCTTATCTGAAAAAATTGCACAAAGTTTGTTTTCCCTAATCCTTACATGTTCCCAAAAATAAAGTTATTAAACGGCGCTTTAGTTCCACTTAACTTAATATTCTACAAGTTTATAAAGGTCAATGTCATAAAGTGGCAGCAATCCTTGTAACAATTTTGAAACTTTTAGTAACGGTTCTTTCGCATCAGAGCTTGCGAAAATAAAACTGTTATACCTTTCTTGCAGTAACTCAGCTTGTGATTCCTTTTGGTGAACTCCATATATTTTTGTGTTGATAATTTTTAGAACGTGTTACATAAAAAGTGCCCCCATCTGATCTTTTTCCCTTTATTCTCCTGTGATGATTTGATCACTGTTTGACAGAAGATTCCAACAACAAATAAGAAAGCCATTACTGATGAAAGGTATAAATTCGACAAATCCTTTATCCAATATTCCAATTTCCTTTCCTACTTAATGTGCTCAGAACCCAGATACAAGTAAGGTAGAGATTCACAAGAATTTGGCATCAACAACTATATAAGAGGCCACTGGCACTAACAAGTAGTCTAGCTCTAACTGCACTCAAATCATTACCCCTTTATTGCTTCTGAACATTATATATTAATACTCCTTTCTGCATTCTTAATTTTCGTTAAAAAAATGGAAATGGTACCTCGGAAGATGCAATCCAGGGCTAGCCGCCATATTTTTTCAGCATCAGATGACACTACAATGACCAAAAATGTTCGAGCCACCCATGCTCCTGATGATCGACACGTTGAAGTTAGACCTCTTCTGAATGTTGTCCAAGACATATTTCTCCGTGTTGCCTCTCTCATCCCTGACATTGTTAAGGTATATATGTCTATATCTCAGACAATTTTGATTATATAGTTAAGATTTTCAAATTTTCTGAGTGTGGTTGGTTGTTTTGAAAGTTTGCACAGGGAAAACCAGTGCAAATGGATGCTATGAAGGATAGTATCCAGCAATCAAATCTGACCGAGGTGCTAGATATTTCGTACCACACAATCAACAGAATTTCCTGCGAGGTTTTCTCAGTCTCAGTCCCAAGAATTAATCTTCACTTAGAATTTTAACATCATGTTTCCCAATTGACAAGACCAGACTGATTTAAACGTCTCCAAAAAACATACTACTTTAAACTTGTTCGTGTTTTCTTGTCGTGTCACAGATATGTTGCAAATGTTCGAGTGCTGATATACATGCCACGACCATGGGAATACTGAACATGCTCTCAGGCTATTCTTGGGATGCGAAGGTGGTAATTGCGTTAGCAGCTTTTGCAGCCAACTTTGGGGAGTTTTGGCTGGTGGCTCAGCTTTATGCCACCAACCGTCTTGCTAAGTCTGTTGCAAAGTTGAAGCACATCCATGAAACACTTGAACAAGTGGATGATTTGGGACTAAAGTTCGAAACAATCAATAACCTTTTAAAGGTAATGTTGGATGTAACCAATTACATTGTTGAATTCCATGAGCTTCCCTCTCGGTACATTGACCCTGAGGCGCCGGAGATGTTGACTGCCTCCACTCTTATCCCCGGTGCTGTCTATTGGACCATTCGGAGTTCTGTGTCCTGTGCATCGCATCTTTTAGGCATAACTGGCTTGATTCATGGGTAAACCTTCATTGTTAATTTCTCTATTTTTTCCAAAGCAATCCCCAATGAAACTTCGAAATGAACTAACTTTCCTGATCTCGTTGCAGATATATGACAACAGTGGTAGAGAGTTGGGAACTTTCCAGTTTGGCGCATAAGCTTGATAACCTAAATGGCCACCTTCGCAAGCAACTCACCCTTTGTCAACTGCATTTAGGTATGCCAATCTAATTTATAACCGGTTAATTCATTTTTTTCTTCGGGTAGAATATTTCTAATCTATTACGCCCGTGAACATTTATATACAATGCAGATGACAACAAACAGAGAGAAGCATTTGAAACACTTCGGCTCCTTTTTGAGACACCCCACCAAGATAACTTGAAGGCTCTCAAAGCTATGTTTTGCATTAACGATGATCCGTTGCCATTGTTTGATGGTTCTTCCAAACAAAGGGTTAACCCTGAATCCATTTTCTCTTCTCACTCTTACTATATGTGCATATATTATATGTAATGTAACCATATATGGTCATCAGATTGATCTTTACTTTAGACTTATTATAATAATAATTTTTCTACTTGGTTCAAAATCCAAAAAGTTATGGTAAATGACCCAATCGGGAGAAAAGGTTATGATAATTACACGTGGTGTTTCTGTCACAACCTTGAACGTATTTATTTATCTTCAGGTTAGCATTGATGTATTGAGGAGGAAAATTGTTCTACTCTACATATCAGACCTACATAACGTCCCTGATCAAGAGCTTGTGATATTTGAACAAATGTACCTAGAGTCACGTCAGGATTCAACCAGGTTAGAGAGTCAGTATGAACTCGTTTGGATTCCAGTTGTGGACAAGGCAATCCCATGGACTGAATTGAAGCCGAAGCTTGAGAAGCTGCAATCAACGATGTCATGGTACTCAATTTATGACCCTTCTGTTCTGGAGCCTGCAACCATCAGGTACATTAAAGAAGTATGGCTTTTCAAAGCGAAGCCTATACTTGTTGTGTTGGATCCCCTAGGGAAGGTTGTTAATCTGAATGCATTACCCATGATGTGGATTTGGGGAAGCTTGGCTTACCCTTTCTCTAGCTCAAAGGAGGAAGCATTGTGGAATAATGAAACATGGGGACTTCTTCTATTGGCAGATACAATCGATCCATCGCTTCTGTATTGGGTGAGTCGTTACATTCTTTACTTTATCTTTCAATATATATAAATTCATTATTGTCAAAAACTGGTGTATGAAGCAAATTTCTAAGCTTGACTGTCTCCCCGTATATGTAACACTTTTCATTCTGTACAAATGATTATTAAAACTAACGAAAATAACTAACAATAGTTTTGAAGTTAATATTTCCTCTATTTGGTCTGATGATTTCCGGACATTGAATAAAAGTCAACTATATCATGTTATTTCTTAAAACTGTAGCCTCTATGTACCATCACATTTGCCAATCTTACATAACCACCACCTCATACAATATAATTTTAAATATATATGCATACTTTGTTCAGATATCAGAAGGCAGATATATATGCTTGTACGGAGGGGACGATATGGACTGGATCCGCAAATTCACAAGCACTGCACATTCACTGGCAAAAGCTCTGCAACTACCACTAGAGATGATTTATGTTGGGAAAAGCAATCCGGGGAAGAAAGTTCAAGAAATCAACAATGCCATACAAGAAGAAAAATTGAGCACCGTGCTCCCTGACCTTGCGATAATTTGGTTCTTCTGGGTTAGGCTAGAGAGCATGTGGCAATCCAAATCACAGCATAGCAAGACAGTAGAGGAAGACCACATAATGCATGAAGTAATGAGAATCCTAACCTACGATAGTGGTGACCCAGGATGGGCCGTAATTAGTCAAGGCACAGGTAGGATGGCACAGGGTAAGGGAGATACGTTTCTAAGGTGCCTGAACGAACATGAGCAGTGGATAGCAACAGCAAAAGATAAAGGGATCTTGCCAGCAATGGCTGATTATATACAAGGACTACAAACCCCTCACCACTGCAACCGCTTGATACTTCCAGGTGACAGTGGCGGGGTACCAGACAGAGTGGTCTGCGCTGAATGTGGCAAAACAATGGACAAGTTCTACATGTATCGCTGCTGTAACGAGTAAACACATGTTCACATCGCCTACAATGTGTAAAAACATATTTGAAACAGTGCAAACCGGTAACGAAGGGCATTCGTGCCAATTGAAACTACTGGAGTAGAATTTCAAGCTTAGAATAGATTCACCATTTCAACCACTGAATGAATAAATCTTTCATTCCGCATAATTTCAGTCCACCGATTGCATGAATATGTTGAATTCAAGTAAGAATAGCATATCAGTGTTTGTCTGACATAGGTTTTCAATTCAGGTTTATGATATCTACCTATTGTTTTGGTTTTTATTGTTAAAGGCTTGTAATTGTATGCTAAAATCTGGTTTTATTAAGTTATGAAAGTATAGCTTTTCTAGATACAAGAATTATAACACAAAAATTGAAAACATAATTATTGGATTGACTGAAAAAATCATACTACTAAAACTAATAGTTACACCCACAACGAGAATGTATCATTGGGGAGAAGATTTAGTGGCAGCGGAAACAGAATTCAATATCTGAGCTAGAGGGGCAAGGATATGAGGCACAAGTGCACCTATACCTTTGAGAGCAGCGCCTGAAGCCAGGCCAATTGCAAAAGTCTCGACATACCCAGGCTTAGAATCTAGCTTCAAGTCGAGAACAGTAAGTCTATTGCTAATTGAATCAATCTTCTTAGAAGACTCGGCCAATAGCTTATCGTTTCTACCTTTGCCAGAGGATACGACTCCAAATAGCGCCTTCTGAAGATCCTCAATGACCTTCATCGACGCCTCTTGCGAGTCCATACCCTGAGACTCATAGTGGGATATCAGCTCTTTCGGCGTGGGAAACTTCAATTTTGCCGGGGGTTTTTGTCCAACTTTAGGAATTGTTACATTTGGCAGTTCCATCTCTACAAATATCCAACGCCAATAACCAAATGTTAGTCTTACTTGATTTGTTGTAATTGTGACAAATTCAATTCACCATATTCGTATAATGAATTTCAACTAATATTCTCCATTTAAACGTCAACTACAGTTAGTTTTTAATTGTTAAGAATTCAGATACTGGAATTGTGAAAATTGTGAAACAAATTGAATGTACCAGCAGACAGGTAGCATAGTGTAGTAGATTAAACAAAATTACACCACGCTGTTTAAAACTGGTTATTCGAGAAGAAATTATTTATATATGCTTCGGAAACAAGAACATTCCCCACGGACAATAAGGGAGAGTTCACCAGAAGAAGCAACAAATAAAAGAATTGAACTAAAGGAATGGTACAACGCGACCATGTAACAGACTACGCGGAAATCACAGTAGCTGTTTAAATTCAGAAAAACAGGTCGACATTGAAATTCATGTACGCTTTCGTTGACACGTCCTTCAGCATTCGAAAGACGAAGAACGTAACGCCTATCAAAAGCGAGAAACATAGAAGACAAAATTCAGGAAATATGAATGGAACGAACCCTAAGTGAGAGAACATACTTGAAAATTCAAGCAGTCTTCGACGCAGAGACTCCGACGACGTTTCTTGGCCTCGCGGCGCTAGGGTTTATCCCCTTCACTGAACAGGGGTTCTGCCTCTGCTTTTATAAGGCAACAGAGCTAAACCTACAAGTTAAACTGGTAGCCAGATGGGCTTTTTTGCAAAATTATACAAAAAAAAGATTTTGGGCCTCCAGAAGAAATTATGAAGAATTAATAAAAGGAAGGGTGTTGGTCCTCTACCACCACATCTTTTCTATTTTGTCTTTCAGTAAAATTTTATTTTTAGGGTTATTATTTTTTAATTTTATCCATTCACACTCTATTTCACTAATAACTTATTCTAGTATCGTACATGAGTAAAATATTTTTCTTTCATTTTAATCTTATATTTCTTGCAAAGGTTGGTGGTGGTGCTTGATGTATACTTCCTCACGCTGGTTGATGCTTTAGACGCTCCTCGATGTTCCTTCACACCACGGCGGCGACGCTCCTTCACACCACGACGACAATGGAAGCTTTCAAACCAAAAAAAAACTGAGAAGAAAAAGGAATAGAAGTGCGGGAAGTGGGGAGGTGAAACGGAAATGGAAAAGGGAAAGAGAGTTTGGTGGGTGGATGCTGAGAAAGTAAAATTAGGGTTTCAAATTATTTAAAATAGGATAAAAGTAAAAAAAAAATTAAGTTAAGGATATAATTGTATTTAAAATAGTGTGGAAAGGTAGAGAAAGTATAGAATGGTGATGGAGGGAGCAACACCTTAAAAGCAAACGTTTCTGGATCTGCATCTCTCCTGTTCACTGTTAATTGGAAACATCTATTTAATAAATTGTAAATTGTAAGTATTTATTAATTTGTTAATTAATGCAGTAAAAATTTATTAATTAGTTAATGATAAAAACTAATCAATTCACTATCGTACGAAGCTAGATACTCATATTCTCCTTGACTTTTTATGATTTAGTTACATTTTATGTTAACAAGTAGTTTTAATGATGAAGTTATAATTTTTTATTTAATTTTATATAAATAAATTTTAAGCCCTAAGTTTAAATCTTTAATTCTATTACTCTTTAATCTTATTTAAAAAACAATTTTTATCTCTATTTTTTATTTAAAGTTTAAACTCTAATTTTTTTATTTATTTACAAATATATAATTATCCATAACTTAATAAAAAATAATATGAGTTAGTGTTTACTAGTCCCGTCTAAAAGAACTCATCCAGATACCTGTCCCATTATTCACGAGGTATTCTTGAAAAAAATACTTAGGAATATCTTTTATAACTGTCAGTGTTGTGATACCCCTAGATATTTTTATATCTTATTTTTTTATTATAAATAAAATTATTTAAAAACAATTTTTTTTAAATATAAACTTAGATAAAAAATAACTTTAAGTACAATTTAAATTAAATTATTCAATAAAATGTTATGCTTTTTTAAAAATAATTTAAATTTTTCATTAAAATATAAATTTTAAAAAATTAATCTTTTAAAAAATAATAAATAAAAAGTAGAACATATATGAAGCTAAATTTTAAACTATTCTTCTACTATAGTATTTCTTTTACTAGCATATATATACACACACACACAAGTCAGATACTATATATAAATATTTTCTAGTATAAATTTTTTTTTCATTACTAAACCTAATTCAGTATCTTTAATATAATTTCCTTTTCATCAAACTTCATATAAAGTTTTCCATTAATGACACCTAGGCTATGTTTACATTGTTAAATTAATACGAAAATATTTTTCCATTGATTGTTTTAAATAATTGTTAATGGGCAATATAATATAAGAAAAAAAAAAGGATTGGACAAAATTGAAATCATTGTAACATACATATTTTCACGGTAAATTTTTTTGTAATATATGAGTGACAATGTCAATACTATTTTTTGTTTATCTTCTCTATTTTTCTCATGGTTTGTCATATGTTTTTGTCCTTTTTTCTCTTCATTGTTTTTTATGCTTTTTCTTGTTAGAATATATATTAAATACAAGTAGTTGGTAGAACAAATATTTAATGTATGTGGTTAGTACTTATATCAATGAATTGTTAAAATTAATTACTTAAATAGTTTTTTTGTCTGATTTTGTTCTATAAATAATAAAGAGATAATCAATTTCTTAATTTTTTTTCTCATATTTTCAGTTAATATTAGATATTTGAGTGGATCAACTTCACCAATAGGTTCAACTTTCATGAAATAGACTTAACCAGAATCAACTCTATTATTTCTACATGAAAAATAAACCAACTCTTATGTATTGTTTTTTTAAAAGGTTTGGATTTTAATAATCATGGTTTGGTGCCACTTAAGACGACGATTAAGTATCTCTTTCACATTTTTAAAAATAAGAGTATAAGATAAAAGAATAATAGAAAGAAAACAAACAATGATAACTTAAGAAATCATAAATAAGACGAGAATTTTTGTGTAAAATAAGTACATTTACTTGTGACAATAGACCAACTAGAATCTTCATTATCAAAAAATGTAGTATGTAATGACAATGATAAAGAATTTGATGAAGAATACTCATCATGTACATTCGACAAGTTATTAGAGTTAATTGTTCTAAACTTAAGACAGTGGAATGTGTATTACATAATAGTTATAATATGTATTTAATGTAATTGGTCACCAATTTTCTTAACACTAATTACTTAGATAATTCTGATGTAATTTTTTTCTATAAAAAAAAAAAAAACTTTTTTAGAAATCAAGGTATTTGCTAGACCATGTTTGAACAAACTTTTCAGCAAAGTTTTCTGAAAAAAAAAAAAACACTTCCCATAATTAAAAGTTATATACAAGTTAAAAAAATTAAAAAATAAAAAACGAAATAACTTTACAAATTAACGTGTGCATAAACTAATTTTATCTAATAGATAAACTAAAATTCATTTTTTCTTTTTGTTTCTCTATTAGAAGTTCTCATGGAGAAGTTTGATCAAAACCCTAAAAAGAAACACCCCACTTAAGCAACTGAGTGTGCCACTACATGCATATTTTGCATTCAAGAAAATAACACAAGATCATATGTTGCTAATAATTGTAACAACACAGCTTCAATTGCTCTTCTTATCGTCTATAATTGCCTTCCACTCAGTATCAACATAGCCATTTAACTAAACAATTCCTGTCTTTAAATACTAGATTCCAAAAATTGTTAACATCAAGTCTTCTTGTTGTCAAGTATTTTATAAACTCCCTGCCAAGCTTGCTATTTCTTTGGATGATTCTAACCTGCTCTTCTTGAGATTATTAGCAACATATGTTCTTGGGATAAATATACCTGAGCTACATTTGAATACTTCCATTCCAATGAAGTAATTCATGACGCCAAGTTCAGTCATCTCAAATATATTGAACTTGATCCACAAAAGTAAATTACTTCATATCACAAGCAAGTTACAAACCAGAATCATTTTGTTTCAAATACAGAGTAGTTTCATTTTCACTCCTGAATCCAAGTTGGATTAAGAGTCAATTCTGCTTGCTTCAAACTGTAAAATGTGAGGTTTTATAGTTTCGTGTTCTTGGCCAGCAACCTCAGACTTCTGGTTGCATGACTCCAAATGTGTAGTTTTCACAATTAAACAATGGATGAATTGCTAGAAGTAAACATAGTTTTACCCGGATGCCTGAAGAATAAATTGCTTAAATTTGTCAGTATTTGCAGTCAACTTCTTTGCCTCAAAACACCTAGGAAACCAGGTCTTTGTACGACAGTTAAATATCAGATTTGAAAATAAACCAAAATACTGGAATTGCCAGATAAAAATTGAAGAAAGAATACAAAATTTCATAAATAAGCATGCTTATCTATAGGCTTACGACCAATTTGAAATTTGCTAAAAATTCTCAACTGCCATGACATTTTATCAAGATTACAATAGCTAACTCAACTACCGTATCACGGTATCTTTGAAGGTTTCTCGGTGTGATGGCATGATGGAGGGTCATTGTAAGCAATCGTAACTTTGCACATGCAAAGACACTGTTGCCGAACTTAAATTAGAGACCAACAGGTCACCAAGTCATAACTTTACCGCTCCATTAGGGCTCGCGCTCCCTCACACTAGGATAACTAAAAACCAAGGAGCAGAAAGTGTAACAATAGCAAAGGCAAAATCTATCAAAAGCTTGTTTAAATATCAAAGGCGAACTATAACGATTAAACGTGCTATAGTATATTTTGAAAGTTTATATAAGATGCTTCTAGTAGCTCTGGGATTGCAATCATTTCAAATAACACTTTAACCATTTTCAAGCTATAAAAGCATCTAATCACTATAGTCATTTGAACTGATCATTTATAGTTAAAATTAATAAAACTAAGAAGCTTCATGGAGGCACAAGAGAACAAAAGATGAAACACGCAATCACAGCATCTAAAACCATACAGCATTATGGACAAGAAAAAATAATGTATTAAATTTCTGAATCTCATAATTTACAACAATGCCTTTGGCCATATAGCATTCGATGTCTGAAATCATCTATTATGATACTGTCAAACTAACCATACAGAACCTACAAAGATCAACATGAAAATTTTCACCTCGTGAAGTTCAATTTCTTCTACTTTTTAACGAAGTAGTAAAAGAAATAGTGTAGTCACTGGAGTGAAGAATCAATATAACCTAATCTGTTGAAGATGTATCAGTATATGAAATATATGCTGCAGGAAAGATACTCTTCCTAGAAATTAGAAAGCAACATATGTCGAAAAAAGATATTGAAAAGTAATTGCCTCCCTTTTCACCTCAGAAAAGGCCTCATACTAGCAAAGAAGAATGCCGGCTCACATTAAATAAAAAATTTGCAAAAAGTGGGCTAGAATGGCAACTTTGTATCAGAACTTAAAGAATGCAACTTCAAATTTATCTGTTCAAAGGTTCTAACTGAACTTCCATTCTAGAAGAAGGTAGTAACTCTTTATTTGCGGTTGTTCTTGTTGGACTCAAGAGATCAAGTGAATCATCGTCCTCAACGTTACCAAGCACCCAATTGCTTCTTTCAAGTATCTGCCGCCTTATTCGCTGCCTTTCATGGTATTCCAAATAAAAAACAATCAATGCAACAATTGAGAACCAAATTGCCAAAGCCCAACTG